TAGGTGGGCGGAATATACGAGGGATAGTAGAACAGCACACGGGAGAGGCATAAGAGGGCAAAACCAGGAGGAAGGCACCGCAAGATCTAGAGGCGGGCAACGGAGAACAGAGCGATGGGGAGGCCGGGGAAAAGAAACGCGTCCCCCTCCCCCTCCACACCACACGCCGCAGTCGCCAGCTGCTCCGCCACCGCCCACAAGTTGGAAGCGGCGAGGCGGCGGAGCAGCGCCTCGCAGTCCACCTCGCGCAGGAGGCGGAGCTGTCTGGCCAAGCTAGCCGCGTGCCGCAGCGAGGCGCCCTCCCCCGCCCCCTCCTCCGCGAGCAAACGGCGCACGTAGCCCGCCGCGCGGTCTCGAAGGACACGGGGAGGCCAGCAGCAGCGCGACGCCCCAAGTGGCTGCGAGGAGCGCGCGGCGCGCGCCCTCCACGCGACGACGGCCTCGACGGCGAAGGAAGCTGGCGCCGCGCGCGCGGCCAGGTCACCCGCTGGCGAGAGGAGCAGCTCGTTGAGCAAGCTCGTGCACGCGGCTGCGGTGGGCGGGTCTCGCTGGGCCTAAGCACCACGCACACCCAGTCATGGTCCGCTCCTTCTCGGGGCTGTTGTCGTTGGCCGTAGGCAAGGGCTCAGCGGCGCCTCGCCAGAGGACGAGAGGGCGACGAGCAGCACCGAGCTGAGCAGCCGGTGCTGCTCCACTCGGCCTGTTCACAGCGAGCAAGAGCTGTGAAGAGGCGCTCCTATCCACAGCGGTCGGTGCGGCTCCACTCTCGCCGAGCAGGCAGCGGAGCAAGCACACAGCTCCACGCGACAGCTGCAGGCCGTGTTGCGCGGCGCGCCGCAGGCTGAGAGAGAGGGCGACCTGTTCACAGCTTGCAGGTGTGAAGAGACGCTGTTCACAGCTTGCAGGTGTGAAGAGAGAGGCCGGCCTTGGCCATCGCGAACCGCGAGTTTGCCTTGCCTCCCGCCCTGCCCCCCTCCTTGCCGCCCGGTCTCCTCTCGACGTCTGCGGAAGCACGGTCGGCCGGCGAGGAAACGGCGGCGGCGAGGGCCGCATCCAGCCGCGAGAGAGCCGCCTCCCTCCCCTCCTCGCCCTCCCTCTCCTCCCTCTCCTCCCTCTCCTCCCTCTCCTCCCTCTCTCCGCTAGCCCCCGCGCCGCCCGCGTCCTCCTCCTCCTCCTCTTCGCCCTCCTCGCCCTCCTCCTCCTCGTCCTCCTCCTCCTCTTCTTCGCGCGCGGGCGCGGCGCCCGGCCCAAACCGCCGGCAAGCCTCGACGAAAGCCGCGCAGAGCTCCCGCAGCTCGGCGTGCAGCGACGGCGCGAGCCGCCTGAACGCCTGCGTCGTCTCTGCCACCGCCTCCGCCACCAAGCTGGCCGCCCCCAGCGCCGGCTCGCCCTCGCCGCGGGAGCAGCCCGCCGCAGCCAGCGCCGCCGCCTCCTCCATCGCCGCCGCCGCAGCAGCAGGGAGCGGCTTGCTCGCGCCGAAGCCGCCGGCGCTGCCCACCCGCACCGCCAGCAGCGCCGGCGACACCGCCGCCCGCGCGTCCGCGTCGGAGTAGTCTCCCGCCCCGGCCACGGCCCCCTGCAGCTGCCTGCGCCTCACCCCGTGCCGCAGCCCGAGGGGCAGGGCGCGGCAGAGGGGGGTGGGGTCCCAGCGGGGAGGCATCAGGAAGCCTGCTCGGTGCACACACGCGGGTGAATTCATTAGCTTGAGTTCATTAGCTTGGGGCCCCGCGGGGCGGCGTCAGGTTGGCCTCGTGAAGCCTCGAGCCACACGCGCCTCCCTGCGCCGGCGCCGGATCCGACGGCCGGGCTGTCGGCGGCCACCGGCAGCAGCTGCAGCAGCAGCAGCGCCTCCTTCGGGCGTGCGGCTGGGAGGGCCTCCGGATCGGCGCCCAGGGCTTGCTTGAGCTGCGGGAAGGTCAGGAGCGGGCAGTCGTCCACGCCTATTCCCGTGCTCTCATTCTCCTCCTCCTCCTTCCTGTTGGAAGGTCGGGAGCGGGCAGTCGTCCACGCCGAGCGTAGGAATGCCGCCGATGCACGGCCCTGCTCCCCCTCCCCCTCCCCCCCCTCCCCCCCCTCCTCCCCCTGCCGGGCCTAGCGCCACGGCGGGAGCGAGCCAGTGCAGCTTCGCTCCGGCGGTGCCGAGGCCGCCCTCGCCGGGGCCAGGGACCGCCCAGAGCGAAGCAGAGGGGAAGGAGGAGAGCTCGTCGACAGAGCGGGCCCACCAGCCGCGAGAGTGGGAAGGGCTCACCTGCGCACAGCTGCAGCTGTGAACGGCGCCTCCTCACGGCGCCCCCGCGCCGCGTGCATGGGTTGGCTCGCCGCGGCACACAAGCGCGCCGAGGCGTCGCTCGCAGCCAGCTCCTCCGTCAGGGGGTAGAAGAGCCAGCCCCGCACGACACTCTCGGCTGTGATGGCCGGGGACGCCTCCTCCGCCCCCGCCGCCTCCTCCGCCCCCGCCGCCTCCCCCGCCTCCGCCCCCGCCGCCTCCGCCGCCTCCGCCGCCTCTGCCTCCGCCTCCGCCGCCTCCGCCGCCGCCTCTGCCTCCGCCTCCGCCGCCTTCTCCTCCGCCTCCGCACTCCGCCTCTCCTCGGCGAAATGCGAGCGGAGAAAGGCGCGGACAGCGGGCGCCTGTTCACAGCGGAGGGGTGAAGAGACGCTGTTCACGCCTCGGGGGGCGAGCGGAGGGAAGGGGCGGACGGCGGCCGCCTAGGTGCAGCAGATATGGGGAGATGTGGGGAGATGTGGGGAGATATGGGGAGATGTGTGGAGATGTGTGGAGATGTGTGGAGACGTGTGGAGACGTGGGGAGATACGGACGGCGGCCGCCTCGGAGAGGGAGATCTTGCGCCGCAGCTCTACCACCTAGCTGCGAGGGTGACCCGTAGCCGGCGGCCGTGAGCTCAGAGCGCCTCTCCGCCGCGGCTCGGCCGCCTAGTCGTTGGAGGAGAAGACCCGTCGGTCACCGGCTGCCATGTCGTCCCGCCTGCCCCGCCGCTTCTGCTGCTCGCCCGGTGCAGCAGGTTCTCGCCGAGGAACGGGCCGACGTACCGCGCGAGACCCGCGTCCACCCTCGCAGCCTCGCCCGCCGCTGCGCCGCGCAGAGCGAGCCTCCACTCCACCTGCAGACGCCGCTCGCTGTCTGGTGGGGACAGCAGTCATAACAGCAACAACCATGAACCATGCTGAAGAGACTCCACCTGCCGGCCCAACTCATCCTCGAACTCGCCCGTGCGCTCGAACCCGCTCCCCGCAAGGAAAGAGAGCATCGGCGCGTTTGTCGCTAGCGTCACCGCGGTGACCTCGCGGCCGCCGAAGCGCTCGCGTAGCAGCCGCGCCTGTTCACAGCCTGAGGTGTGAAGAGACGCCGTCCACAGCTGCGAGGCGCTCGCGCAGCAGCCGCGCCGACGCGTCGAGCGCCTCGCCACACACGCCCCGCCGCCGCCAGCGCGCGCGGACGATCGCGCCCCACTCCCCGCTCGCGCCCGGTCGCAGTGCGCGGAAGCCTGCTGACGACCCGCCATTCCTTAGTTCTTTCGCGATCTGTTGAGTCACGACCGGTCACGGCGCGCGGGGAGCCTATCCCCCCTCGGCCAACACCTCACTTAGCAGGCTGCAGAGGCGCGCCTCAGCTGTTCAACAGGCGGCGGCCAGTAGTCCCGACGAACGCGCCGCTCGCCTTGCAAACAATGTCCAGCAAACACTGGCTCGGGGAGCGAGCCTACTCGCTTTAGCTACTGCGAGTGAACTCATTCAGACGTTGGTCCAGCAAGCACTGGCTCGGGGCGCGCGCACGGCGAGGCTCTGGCGCTGCGCCGCGCGCCGCGCGCTCGCGGCGTCGCGCGACATTCCGAACATCGGCCTGAGGGACAGTCCTACGAGTCCGAGAGTGGAGCTCTCTTCTTCACCGCGGGAGAGAGTCCGAAGATCCGCCTCAGGTGCGGGAGCATCGTCTGCTCGTCGGCGTACATGGCGTGCGCGTCGGCGTCGCGCGAGCCGTGCGGTGCGAAGAAGACGAAGCGCTCGGATGTGACGAGGGGCTCCTCGCTCGCTCCGCCGGCCTCCTCCTCCTCCTCCTCCGCCACCTCCTCCTCCGCCTCCTCCTCCTCCGCCACCTCCTCCTCCGCCACATCGTCCGCATGCAGCATCTTGCGTCGCCAGCGAGCACACACGGTCGCCTCCGGTGCGTGCGATGACGGCGCCTCTGCCTCCGCTGCCGCTCCTCCGCCCGTGGACTCGCCCGCGGCGACCGCAGGTGGCGCCGGGCAGCGCTCGCATCCGACCGCCTCATCCCCGCACCTGCGTACAGTGACCTCACAGTGTGACCTCGAGGTTGTTGTGATTGATGTTAGGAGTTCGCCCCGTCGCCGCGCCAGGCGAAGAACTTGACGTGGCTCTCCCAGTGCACCACCTCCACCTGATCGCACCGCCGGCTGTGAACAAGCGTCTCCTCACAGCGTCTCTGGGCACGGCCCACGAGCGCGCCTCCTTCTCGACGCTCCGCCGCGCAAAGGCCAGCTTGAGCTGACCTGCCACCTCGCCATCCACGCCCGCGTGTATCTGCTGCTGCACGAGCACGTCGGCCGCCTGTGATGGGACCGGCGGTGATGGATCGCGGGGATTGGGCCGGCAGGCTTCACGCACACCGTGTACCGTCTCTGGATGCATCTAGAGCTCAGCCGTGCTGCCGAGAGCTGGGCAGCGCCGCACCCAGAACTCGAGCAGCGCGGCAAAGTAGAAGCCCAGGCGGCGGACGTTGCGCTGTCGCTGCAGCCACTCCTCGAGCGGGCCGGGCTGCGCGTCGAGCTCTCGGAGCCACGACAGAGACTCCTGACAGAGCTGGCGGCACCAGCCGTCGCTAGCGACCGGCACGCCCGCCGCTGGCGTCAGGAGGTGTGGCGACGCGAGAGCCCAGTGCAGGTCGCGTACAGCCTTCGAGTAGAAGATCACGCGAGGTGGCTCCGTGTCCATGTGTGGCAGAGATGTCGAGACAAGCTCGCTCGCACTTGGGGCTATCTACCTCGAGCTCTGCGCTTGGATGGCTGGCTCCCGGTTTCACACGCGCTCTCTCGAGGTTCTCGAGGTGGATATCCTTTGGCCGCGTTGGGTAGCGAGGATTGGTGTAACCCGAGCCACGGAGGCGTGTTTTCTGACGGCCGACCGTCAGTGCACGGAGTTGCCCCTTCTCCGACTGCCCCGGCTAGTTCCCGAGGTCGTCGGGTGTGACCCCTTCGTCCCCCGAGACCTAGCGCGGGTGGGTTGGAGGGGCACACGCGCTCGAGGAGCGCGGCGTTACCGTCACCCAGCACCAACGCCTCGGCGACCATTGCCTCAATTCCGCCAACGCCACCCACCGCCACAACGCCGCACTTGCAGCCGTCCACCCACCGTGCGCTCACCAGCGTCACGAGCGTACGTCTGGCCAACGGCGTCAGCAAACGTCACGTCGTGCTTCTGTGTCATCGTGATCCGGAACCCCCCCTCGGTCCACTCATAAGGCTGGCGAGCCTGCCCCCCTCCAACGCAATCATCACCCAGCGTGGAACATGGTCCAAGGCTCTCCTGGTAGCCGCTGCTGAGCGCACTCTCATCGCAAATTGAGGGTGAGGCTGGAGGTGGCAATGCCGGTGGCGGCGAGGTTGGCGGCGATGGCGGCGCGGGCGTCGACGGAGGCGGCGGCGGCGCCTTCGGGGACGCGGCCAGCTCGCAGAGCTGGTCCGACGCAAAGTGCTGCCGCACCTCGTCCATCGACGCGCCGAAGAAGGCGAAGTCGGAGCTGGGCGCCGACGCGATCGCGCGCATCGTCTGCTCATTCGCGCCGCCAAACCCGACCGCGACAATCGAGATGCCGTCCTGCTTCACCACCGCCGCCTTCGCGATGGCCGTGTCGTCGTTGCCGTCCACCGTCTGCACGCCGTCCGTCAGCAGCAGGATCGTGCGAGGCACGTCGGCGCGCGCGCCCTGGTTCACCTCGACTCGCCCGAGCTCCAGGCCGTCCGACACGGACGTGCCACCCCCTGCCGCAGACGCGCCGTCGATCGCGGTCAGCACTTCGCTCAGAGAGCCGGTCAGCGGCGTGAGCGTCGCCGCGTCGCTCGAGAACTCGACGATGCCGACACGGGCGCCCTCGGTCGCGTCGAGGCTGAACTGGGACACCATCTCGCGCGCGAAGGCGAGCAGCGACGACTGCTCCGCCTGGACCGACCCGCTCTTGTCCAGCACAAGCACCAGCTCGATCTTGACCACGCACGCCGGCGGAGACGGCGGCGCGGGCGACGGCGACGGCGGCGACGGCGGCAGCCCTGGCGGCGCGGGCAGCGACGGAGGCGGCGGCGGCGCCTTCGGGGACGCGGCCAGCTCGCAGAGCTGGTCCGACGCAAAGTGCTGCCGCACCTCGTCCATCGACGCGCCGAAGAAGGCGAAGTCGGAGCTGGGCGCCGACGCGATCGCGCGCATCGTCTGCTCATTCGCGCCGCCAAACCCGACCGCGACAATCGAGATGCCGTCCTGCTTCACCACCGCCGCCTTCGCGATGGCCGTGTCGTCGTTGCCGTCCACCGTCTGCACGCCGTCCGTCAGCAGCAGGATCGTGCGAGGCACGTCGGCGCGCGCGCCCTGGTTCACCTCGACTCGCCCGAGCTCCAGGCCGTCCGACACGGACGTGCCGCCCCCTGCCGCAGACGCGCCGTCGATCGCGGTCAGCACTTCGCTCAGAGAGCCGGTCAGCGGCGTGAGCGTCGCCGCGTCGCTCGAGAACTCGACGATACCGACACGGGCGCCCTCGGTCGCGTCGAGGCTGAACTGGGACACCATCTCGCGCGCGAAGGCGAGCAGCGACGACTGCTCCGCCTGGACCGACCCGCTCTTGTCCAGCACAAGCACCAGCTCGATCTTGACCACGCACGCCGGCGGAGACGGCGGCGCAGGCGACGGCGACGGCGGCGAGGGCGGCAGCCCTGGCGGCGCGGGCGTCGACGGAGGCGGCGGCGGCGCCTTCGGGGACGCGGCCAGCTCGCAGAGCTGGTCCGACGCAAAGTGCTGCCGCACCTCGTCCATCGACGCGCCGAAGAAGGCGAAGTCGGAGCTGGGCGCCGACGCGATCGCGCGCATCGTCTGCTCATTCGCGCCGCCAAACCCGACCGCGACAATCGAGATGCCGTCCTGCTTCACCACCGCCGCCTTCGCGATGGCCGTGTCGTCGTTGCCGTCCACCGTCTGCACGCCGTCCGTCAGCAGCAGGATCGTGCGAGGCACGTCGGCGCGCGCGCCCTGGTTCACCTCGACTCGCCCGAGCTCCAGGCCGTCCGACACGGACGTGCCGCCCCCTGCCGCAGACGCGCCGTCGATCGCGGTCAGCACTTCGCTCAGAGAGCCGGTCAGCGGCGTGAGCGTCGCCGCGTCGCTCGAGAACTCGACGATGCCGACACGGGCGCCCTCGGTCGCGTCGAGGCTGAACTGGGACACCATCTCGCGCGCGAAGGCGAGCAGCGACGACTGCTCCGCCTGGACCGACCCGCTCTTGTCCAGCACAAGCACCAGCTCGATCTTGACCACGCACGCCGGCGGAGACGGCGGCGCGGGCGACGGCGACGGCGGCGACGGCGGCAGCCCTGGCGGCGCGGGCGTCGACGGAGGCGGCGGCGGCGCCTTCGGGGACGCGGCCAGCTCGCAGAGCTGGTCCGACGCAAAGTGCTGCCGCACCTCGTCCATCGACGCGCCGAAGAAGGCGAAGTCGGAGCTGGGCGCCGACGCGATCGCGCGCATCGTCTGCTCATTCGCGCCGCCAAACCCGACCGCGACAATCGAGATGCCGTCCTGCTTCACCACCGCCGCCTTCGCGATGGCCGTGTCGTCGTTGCCGTCCACCGTCTGCACGCCGTCCGTCAGCAGCAGGATCGTGCGAGGCACGTCGGCGCGCGCGCCCTGGTTCACCTCGACTCGCCCGAGCTCCAGGCCGTCCGACACGGACGTGCCACCCCCTGCCGCAGACGCGCCGTCGATCGCGGTCAGCACTTCGCTCAGAGAGCCGGTCAGCGGCGTGAGCGTCGCCGCGTCGCTCGAGAACTCGACGATGCCGACACGGGCGCCCTCGGTCGCGTCGAGGCTGAACTGGGACACCATCTCGCGCGCGAAGGCGAGCAGCGACGACTGCTCCGCCTGGACCGACCCGCTCTTGTCCAGCACAAGCACCAGCTCGATCTTGACCACGCACGCCGGCGGAGACGGCGGCGCGGGCGACGGCGACGGCGGCGACGGCGGCAGCCCTGGCGGCGCGGGCAGCGACGGAGGCGGCGGCGGCGCCTTCGGGGACGCGGCCAGCTCGCAGAGCTGGTCCGACGCAAAGTGCTGCCGCACCTCGTCCATCGACGCGCCGAAGAAGGCGAAGTCGGAGCTGGGCGCCGACGCGATCGCGCGCATCGTCTGCTCATTCGCGCCGCCAAACCCGACCGCGACAATCGAGATGCCGTCCTGCTTCACCACCGCCGCCTTCGCGATGGCCGTGTCGTCGTTGCCGTCCACCGTCTGCACGCCGTCCGTCAGCAGCAGGATCGTGCGAGGCACGTCGGCGCGCGCGCCCTGGTTCACCTCGACTCGCCCGAGCTCCAGGCCGTCCGACACGGACGTGCCGCCCCCTGCCGCAGACGCGCCGTCGATCGCGGTCAGCACTTCGCTCAAAGAGCCGGTCAGCGGCGTGAGCGTCGCCGCGTCGCTCGAGAACTCGACGATGCCGACACGGGCGCCCTCGGTCGCGTCGAGGCTGAACTGGGACACCATCTCGCGCGCGAAGGCGAGCAGCGACGACTGCTCCGCCTGGACCGACCCGCTCTTGTCCAGCACAAGCACCAGCTCGATCTTGA